TGGGCCATTACACACGTTTTGATCACAGAGAGAATTTGTGATCCAATTCGAACTTCCTCGGAAACCCCTTTCATTTTCAGCTTGAATTAAAAGATAATTTTGGGATGAAGGGAAATTATCAGAAAAAAAGCCGGCCTACCGACAATGTTGCTGTGTTAGGATCACCGTTTGGATCGTCGACGGGACCAGAGCTTAAATGTTGTATATGCAGGAATTTACAATAAAAGGCATGTAAAAAACTCACACTCTTGCCAAAACTTTCGTACCCCCAAATTCAGCATAAGCAGATCCAGGAGGACCATCAAAAACACGACATTTAAAACCTAAAAAAAAATAAAAATCATTGCGGACTTGGAAGAAAGATTAATGTTCAAAAGATTAGTTGGGAACTAACTCACATACTGGTCTGAACGTACTACCTCCGCCATCATCGTCAGTTTCTCCACTGGTCTTTTCTCGCGTTATTTCGCTCAAAGGGATAGAGAAATCAGTTTTTATGAAGGGCATTAGTTCTGAATCCAGCATCTATGTGTTCAGTTAGAAACAAATAACATGAAAAACATAGGTATGCTGATTTATCGATTTGACAACAAATGCTACTGCAACAACTTATTTTGTATTTAGTCAAGGTCAAATATGACATTGGAAGTTTTTACAAAATTTATTTCAAAAAGTAAAATGCTATACAAATATGGCAATGAGTATAAAGGAGACTAAAAAATACTTCAAAATCACAGTCAATCTATAAGAAAACATCCGCCGGAGCATCACTTTTCTAATCAACACTACTCGTAAGCACTAGCACAAAATCTACTTTTATTCTTATACATTCTCACTGTCACTACCCAAGCAAACCCACATAACAGTGATGGCATTGGAACTACAATGTTAAGCTGACTTGTAGATTCTCGGCCCAAAAATCTTGCTGCCAACTCGGACACTTGTACTGCCCTGTGCAATAGCCGTTTCGAAGTCGTCTGACATGCCCATCGATAGTTCGACCTCTTCCGGTGATCTCGACGTTCTCTTGGCCCATGATTCTCTTACTTGATACAAGCGATCAAAGTCGGGATTGGGATTGATATGGCTGAAAACTGCTAATGGTGCGAAGAACGAGCTAACCGCTTACAGCTTCATCAAAAAATTGAAATATACAAAGTGTCCCAAAACTGTGCCCACGTTTACTAACTCTCTCATACCTAAGTCTCTTCATGCTTTGATACTTTATTATGGAACTCTAGCTAAAACTCAGGTAATCACTCATAACGTTTTTGTTACCTCTTCCCATGACGGTAGGAATAATAAACTATGAGCTTAACGGCACACTGGTTCTGTCCACCTTGGCATTGGTCCAAACATAGTTAACAACTTTGGAGGCGTCTATTAGGGCGGTCTAATAATAAGTCCATTAAGTTTTTTCCCGGAAATTGCTAAGTATTTAGCAACAACATTAAAGCCATAGCTTTACCAGTCCTATTCGTGTGGAGACAACAGTTAAAAAATGGACTGAGGTCATAGACGTCAGTGCTGAATTTTAGGCCAAGAAAAAAAAATTAAGAAAAAGAGTTATCAAGCACAATTGGGCACGAATTTTGGACACGCTGTACATCTCATTCAATGGCGGAGAAAATTTGATGTGAACAAAAACGGTAAAAGTATAAAACATAAGAAGAATATGAAGAGGTATTGATTATGTTACCTATGCTCAAAGGAGCCAATCGTCATGAATCCACCGAAACGTAGGTGCGGACAGTTATCAGTGATAT